ACAAAGGCATGGTCAATATAGAGTGCTGAGCAGAGCTAACAGTAAGATATAGTGAACTAACGAAGACAGTGGATTAAGCATGAAAAGTACAATTTCCATAACAGTTCACAAAAATGTTGTGATATTCAGCGTTGATTTGTTTTTGCCCAAACGACTGGAAACAACATGCGGGAAAGAAAAGGAGACCAATGCGCTGGAGGATCTAAGAAGAAACAATTAAAGAAAGAAGACAGAAAGAAGACAGAAAGAAGAAGACAGAATGCAAGAAAAAAAGAGAGACAGGCAGACAGAAAGAAATGTGAAAGGAGATTAGAAAAAAAAAAGATGAAAGGAGGTGAATAATCTCCCTCTTTTTTGTGACTGAAGCTCTAAATCAGTAAATATTTACAGTGTACTTGATTTACTTTGGTGCTGTTTGAAAACAACGCGGGGAATTGAACCCTTATACAGAGAACTTTGTTTTGTTTATCAAATAGATCAAAGAAAGACTGAGGGTAAACGAATAATGCCAGAGACCTGTTATATAATAAAGGTCTAAAACAAAATACAAACAAAGAGCTACCAACTCAATAATGCGCTGGATATTTAAACGTATTAAATAATACGACTTTTAGTTTTAATTTGAAAATTTAGGGTTCAAAAATATGTCAAATAGATTTTAAAAAGGCTAAGAATAAACGGATAATGTTCGGGACCTACTTTTTCTTTTTTCTGGACTAAAACAAAATACAAACAACATGCTTCAAACATAATACAAGAGTAAGGGTTTTGATACTCTATATATCCTAAAAAAATTCAAGAAATATATGTTTTAGGGTAAGTATACTATGGAACAGTTTTAGAAGAGAACTGTATACTTTACATTTCCACGGTTTTACTCATTTGTTTTGTGGGGGGGGGGGGGGGGTTACAGCCCTTCACCCATCGTTTGTACTCGTTCATTTAACATACATACAATCTTATAATTCATGTTTTACAACAAAGTGCCATGTAGTTATGTTATTTTTATAGAATATTATAAGGGCTGAAAAAAAAAACGTTGAGTTTTTACTGCATCGTATAGTCTGTATACACGCCAAGCTTTGTATCAAACACTTCTATTGAAAATCAGTACCATGTTTGCTCTTTTGGATGGCGTAGGTTAAGATTTCCTCGCACCTAAGTGTTGTTTGTTCGTGTACAAAGGTCCCCTAATTAGTGGAATTAGTGAGCCAAAAATGAGGCGGGGGCAACGAGGAGGCATAAAACACTTTAATACTGTAGTCTTGTCCCAAATATTTTATAACGAGATATAGAATCGGGGCAATCATGTTAATATGTTTGTAAACTCTAAATGTTCTGGAGAATCTTTCCTCGATTTTCAAACATTCATTTGCACTCTTTTTATCTTTGAAACTGAGTTTATATATTAATATGTTTAAAATAATCCGATTCATTAATAACAATGTCTGTGTTTTTTTAGCAGATGTTGCTGCATTTATTGATAAATCAAATATAAAACATTCAAATAACAATAATAGTATACAATATAATTGATTTACATAAGAGTGACAACTGAAATGCAGACATATACAAATGCATATATATATATATATATATATATATATATATATATATATATTTGAAAACTTAAAAGTATGGAGGTAAGTAAAATATTCAAAATAAATGCAGAGGCCAATTATGATAAGCATGAATGCTTGAGTCGAAAGCAGCCGTTTCGCGACAATAAGTTATAGTAAGTAAGAACATAAAAACAAATTAATATTGTTTCATGAATTTCATGCATCAGATCCCCCTTCTGTGTCTTAGAAATTTACCATTGTAGATTTTGACCGGAAACTAAAAAGAAAAACAAGTCATAGTGAAATACATTTTTTTCAAACCATCGTAGTTCAAGGGTCACCACTTTAAAAAAATACATGACCATGATGGTCATCGATTATCATCTGGTCAACTGATCATGGTCAGGTTGTCAAGGATGGACATGGTCATTAGAAGCTGATTATCAAACTCTAACAGAATGTCGAAATTGTTTTGGCCCTTCAATAAAGATGCCGATGTTCAATACGCCAAATGCACGATACAATACTTTTTGTGTTGCTAAACATTCATAATACATTTATCAATATGCCTACTTGAAGCAGTTTGTAAAATTTCGGAAAAGAAATATATTTTTGAATTAATATCATAATGTTCGCTTCTTGTATATGGCGCTTAAATATGTTCGCCACGTCTTGACGTTCATGACGCTATGAATGAACCTTACGGAAAAGCCTATTCTACTCGGCGAAAAAAAACACACAATTCAATCTACACAACTTTTTATGTAATCACAGATTCACGATGAATAAGATCGTATCGACCACTAGACATACTCATCATTGATGACCCATACTCATCATTGGCTCAAGATAATCACATCTTGTGAAAAAACAGTGATTGCAATCATGTTTTTATTTCTTTTTACAGTGACATGAAATGATAAATAACAGGGCAAACCTCTTGTTTATTACCATGTAAAGTAGTTTCAATTATTGTTTGCGGTAGACAACAATCGGGTCACTAATAACTACCTGTTATTGGTTACATAAAACTTCAGATAAATCAAATGTTGGATAATGTTTGTCCTATACTGCATGAATGAACACAAAAGGGGGCATTCACGATTCTAAAGTACACGATTAGTAGTCAAGTACGGGATTACCAAAATGGCGGACTAAAATCGTCTCCTCAAAATTTGCTTTAACGGTAAGATAACGACTGACTTAATTGAAGATAACAAATCTTAAACATATTACCTATATTGTCCGTGCATTAGTTAGCCAGGTTTATTACTTTTGTTCTTACAAAAGGTGAACAAATTCTTGGACGTAATCTCAGAAGGATTAATCCTCTAAACTTGGTCGTAAAATTTAATAATAATTGCGGATTATACACCAACGTTAAGTAGCAACAACCACAACTTTAGCATCCAGAGTGCGGCTAGGATCAGTAGGAAAATTTTGAGAATAACCACCCCCAAAAAACAATAGCAAGTTCTTTTGTGAGTTTAATGGAAACCTCTTAAGTACTCTGTAATTTCGGATCACGCAGAAGTAGAATTGGCAGCTTATGCTGAATCTTTAATATACATAAGCAATGCTACTAATAATATTAAGTTTGTGCAATGCGACAATTTCTGCATCTATGCTTTTCCAAAGTGGATTGGAAATCATTACACTGACCCTTTATTATTGGCAGTCGTTATAATTGCACGGTGCATTTCATACGTTTCAATCATATCGCAAAGCAGGCTATCTCACCTTTTAATTATTGCTTCGAGAATCATTCCAGAGATGGGTGTGGATGTAATGATTCTTATTTCTTTATGTTACCACCAAAAAAAAAATATAAAAAGAAAAACGACCTTCACTTGAGGTACTGAAGATTGCTCCGTGTCCTTTTTTCCCCTTAAATTCGGCGGGACAGGGTCGAACTCATCTCAAATACATATCAGCGAATAATGGAAATATATTTATTAATCTTTCGAAGCAAACATTCTCTTATTCAAAGGAAAGATTTGCTTAGCTGAGGAATAATTTGTTTTGACAAGCTGCAGATATTCATTGCATTATGATAGATGCTGTGATTTCATTCCTCCTTTTCCCTACCTTGTTGTCTTCAATAGAAGGCGTATGCTCAACCGTGTGCGGGACAAAAACCGGTCCGAAAACTTGTTAAGTCGAGAACAGCATTTCAATTTAAAAACGCCATTGACGGCTGTCATGCTTCTACAACATATTAAAGTTTTTTTCTTTTCTTTTCTTGTGTACTGAGGTAGAAGTGTTGGGAAGACACGTTCGAGTGCAAACTATTTTTGGGTGTGTGTGTGGGTCCTCGTGACCAAACAATCGACTTTCACGTCGACCTTCCAAGGTCACCGTTTTCAAGTTTAAGTTGATTCCATCTTGTTTGTGCTTCTAATATCGTCTTGGGAAGACTAAAAAATGATTTTATTCCCTCCTCTCCATTTGAGAATAAGATTTGTATTTCTTCTTGATCGTACAAAAAGGGGATTTTGATTGATGTGAGGGTCTCTTATTCTGACAAGACATGAGAGTTCTTCTGAAGATTCCGGTCAGAGTATTCATTGCAAGCATGTTCCTATAGTTCTCCTCTCAGCACACAAGCCTCAGGGGAATTGCACGAAGGGGGAGGTTCCCTCCACACCAAATCATTCTTATTTTCTCATCAATAAAGATGATCTTATTTTTCTTCTAGCAAATTTATAAGGATAAAGGGCGATTAAGATCTGGTTGACACGCAATCTTCTTGGACATGGCGTTTTCTCACGACCCATCCATGTAATGATGTAATACACGAAGAGACACGTCGATCTACCATACATCTGTCATGACCACTACACGGAAATCATCTACAGGGTATTCAATGGGGTCCATTGAAGGGGTGACGGGTAACAAACTCTTAGTGGTTATCTTACATTTAAGATAACAAACTGCAATATCGAGAAAAATACAAAATTAGAATTACATGAACATTTCTGCATTATGCATGTCATGGATTTATCTCTAGGACAGAGATAAGAGCAAATGAATAATGAGCACTGTCAATGTAAGTCCGTTTAACTTTAAAGATAAAGTTTAGTTCTGGTCATGCGATAGCATTATGAAAGAAACGTTGTGGAATCGATCAAAAAAGGTTCATCATCTAGTATATAAATATTGGTGTGTACTGCAAGGTTCTGGAATCGTCAAGACGTTAAGAAATTTAGCCCAGTCTTGGTAAAGTTACAAGCACTGTACACAGAAAGATGTATATGGGACTACACAAACATGTGGCATAAAAATCCGTTCCGATTGTTATGATGTTACATGCCATATTTAGAATATTAAGGCAATTGAAGAGCCATGCTTTTCAGGGAACATGTTTTATCTGATGTTCTTCCACACTTGCATAATGTAATGATAACGCTCACAAATTATTGTGTTACCTCTTCTCAGGACTCAACCTTATCTTTAAGGAGAGGAATCAGCTTCTTTTTAATTGCAGACGAAACGCGAATGAGTACCACCATGACGTCTCGTTGTGAGCAATACATAATTCGTAGGTGTAGTTTCTGCTATAGATTATCTGGGTTAAGAATAAATCCGTAACAAGATGCAATTATTCAGAACAAAATCAAATTCACCTGCAATTCAATTTTGCTCAAAAGTATGAGAAATTAATGCTTTTCCAAAATGAATTAAATGTATCTCGCAACCTAAAATATCTCCTTACATTATCAGAAAAACATAATCAAAACTACAGTTTTTTAATATATTTCATCTCATATTTTAAATCTTCTGCCTCTTCTGTCAAGCACAGTTATCTAAATATATTGTAATGTAAATTAGAAATCAAATAATAGTTATTCGTAAAGCAAAACAATGCAAACGGATCTGATACCAATTTAGTTTTTTCTTCATAGTTTTTGTTTAATTATAATGGCTATGTATACGTCCCGCCACACAGCAATAGTTCTGTAATTTTGTGAGCATATACATTCCCGCTTCTTTCCCCTTAATTCCTTCCATATCTCCCTTCCTTCATAATTTGCATCGTCACTGCATAGTCTGACAGAGATTAATATGTCCTATAGCATGTTAGTCATTGAGGTCCATACGCTTCTAACCATACCCCGTCTAGTTAAACATTAACTAGACTCCCACAATGGCATGCTATTCGGGTTCGAAGGCCACATAGATATCGCCATCGACCGTTGCTAAGCCGCCATTTTGGATTTCACCTGTTTTTCCTCTACCTCCTTCGTAGTTTCTTCTACGATACTCCAGTAATTATATTCACGGTAATAAATTTACACGATGGAAGAGTTGAAAATGGAATTTGATAGAAGACTGCTGACTGCTGAAATTGAGATTTCATGTTAATACTGATTCTAATAAACAGTTTACCTGAAAGATAAGATTACAACGAGGCTAAGTCGCCAAGTGATAATGAAGTTCTTGGAAGGTTGATGACGAGCTCATTAACCTGACTACAATCTTAAAGCATTGAAATACCGAGATCAATGTAAAAACTGGGTTCTGGCGAATAACAATTCGAATGTTTTTATTTGATTTGATTTGGTAGTACTTATAATAAGGCAACACATTGTTAACTGTTGCCTCACATAGAAATACGATGAATTGTACTCTGTCATTTGTGATATAGGCCTACTGCATGTCGGCATCTGTGAATTTAGTTCAAAGAACTACACTACAAAAATAATGAAGATTTTATAAAAACGTGATAGTATCACAGTAAGGCATACTCCGATACGTATGTACATTTATTGACATGGCTGGTGTGCTTATTCTAATCCACTAGTTTGCCAGTTTGCACAATTATTATCACGATTATCCAAACATTAAGACTGAGTTTTACCATCATGGCCTTTTTGTCTGTGATTGCTGTTTTCACCATACAAGGATATCTGTTTCAATTGTCACAGCATATAATCTTCAGAAATCCCCTCTTGTAAAGTTTACCTACAAACAACAGCAATGATGGTTATTAAAAGACCTAAACACAGAGCCATCATGATCATCCCACATTGAGTGTAAACACTTTTTGCTTCCTACATGGGAACGTTTTCTCAGAAAGCATCATAATATCATTAAACATGACGGAAGATCCTTAAACAAAAGGGTCCTATAAGTGAATGGCCTGTGAACTCCAAAATAACTACCTTCGATCAACGAGATGTCGATGACCTTCTGATGTTGTGACGTCACTTTGTTTTTGGCGCGATTAATATGTTTACATTTTTGGGTCGTCTGCGTTCTTCGGCCACATGAGCGTTTGCGCAGCAACCAACCACCTTCCATGTATGATCAAGTCATTGTCTCATATAAACACGAAGAGAAGAGAAGAGTCAACTTCATCCAGTTCAGCCTTTGTTTGTCAAAAGAACCCAAACCACTTCCTTGGGTCAAGAACCCTAAACCTTGACAGCAAATCTTGGCATTATTCGTCATCACCAGGCTTCAGGCTTCGACGCATGGTCAATAGCGACACAATTATAAACTGTCTGCAGTATTCAATGCGTTTATTTTTATATGTTTGTGTTTATACTCGTCTTCTTTTCCAGAAAACTGTCTCTCACCTTAGAAGGTTCCTTTCAATGTTTTGGTCTAAGTGGAAAGCTTAATGGTTGGTCAAGTTGCCTGTAGACATCATGTACAACAGTGATTATCTGTATTTTGTTGATATGGTAAGCAGTGAACAGATCCAAAGTATTACGTTGTGAAATAATAAGAGAAAGGGAATGTTATTGAAAAGAAGGGCAACACAATTATGTATATAAAAACAACTAAGTCAATTCAATTTAATTTGATGGACTTTAAGAATGAGAGAATGAAACAATCAGGTACATAAACTATTCTAAATAGAACGTACCACTTAAATGGAGGGAATGTCGAATTTTAGAAAAACCGTAGCTTTAAATTACACTGGTTTAAACATATTTAGAGGCATAACGAGGTCTTGTATATTGAAATGAATGCATATAAACCATTTTACTCTAAACATATTTCATGAATAAAGACAACTATTATTAAACTACAAATAAACCATTAACTTGAATAAATTTACATTATCACTGTATCTATTTATATTTGATAAAGCACTCAGTATCATTGCTTACTCAGATTTTGACTTGGTAAACACAAGCAGTAAATATAGAAATATATATTCTCATATTCTCAACAGAAGGGAATTTAGTAGAAAATTACATGTTTGCACCCATTTTATCGGAAAAAAGGATAATTCGCCATCAAGGAAACTCTCTAAAATATAAGTTATGATCTGCAAAGAGTGCACCCGACGTGTACCTGTATTTTGCATAAAGCATGACCGTGTAATTTTGGTCAGTTTACCTTATTGCTGCATTATAATCCTGTACGTATACCTCCTGTGCAAGGGTTGGTAGGATGAAGAGTTGAATAATTATGCTAATTATAAGCAAGGATGATCCTGGATCCCTGTGAGATCCTAGGAGGGTTAAACCGGAAGCTGGGATGGTAACTTTGGCGAGGTCAACCAGGTTGGTAGGGCCATTCTCTCGTCTCGCGGGGCACGAGAAGCCGGAAACGAGAAGTGTTTGGGGAAGTCTCGGATGTGTTGTTGGGAGGAGCGAGGCGGGGAGGCAGAGGATTGGGAGCTGGACGTGATGGGAGGGATGGGATAGGAGATTGGTGGATAGATAACGAACAAAATATGAAAGGACACGAGTAAATGGTATAAGTTCAGAAAGAAGGAGAAGAGGACAGAGAGACAGAGAGTCAGGGAGGGAAAGAAACGGATCAAGAAATACACAGGAATAGACAGAGAGATAGAGGGAGAGAGAAATAGAAAGAAAACGGGAACTAAATACGAAAATACACACGTAGCCAGGTAATTTCTAAATGATATAAAAAGATGGAGAAAGAGAGAGAGATGAGGGGTGTCGAGGTGGCAGATGTATGATGAGTAAGATAGAGAAACAGAGGGACAAATATTAGGAGAAAGATATTCATAATTATTCAAGCATTTACATTTGGTAGCAGACTACATTACGAGTTTTATCTGGCAGCCCTGTGTTTTGTAGACAATGTAAATTGTAAATTGACCCCTCCCCATTTGGCCTTCAAACATAGGGTGTACATAAGCTTCTATCTATTGACGGATCAACATATGGTCAGAAATGTGGATAACACGACAACAATGAAGACAGAAGGTGCATAGCCTTTTTAAACAAAATACATGTAGGTTCCATGTAAGGAGTATGATATTCATCATACATGGGACGAACGTATAGTCTAAAATGGCTGACTATAGGTGGTATATTCGGGCCAACGTTTTACCCATCCCAGAATGTTTACCCATCGAATAAAATAGAAGATGCCCAGCTCATCTTCCACCAACGGAGGCCGTTGTCATGGTAACCGCTTCACGGCTCCAGCCTAAAGATAATCGAAGGTTGTGATGAAACGATAAAGAACCACTGACTTTCTTTGATGAGACTGAATACTTCTAGACGTCTTACTACTTCCAAGACAAAAGCGGTAGGCCCAATGGAGAGCATATAGCAAGTCATATACGACGAAGGTATTGTACAATCTAAGCGTCTTTAAAGGCCATGTAACAGTGAATAATGAGAAGAAGAATATATTCTCAAACATAAGCAACATTCCAAGCTGACTGACCATGACGGATTTATGAAAAATGAAAGAAAAAAAAAACGAATGAAATAAACTAAATTATACAATTTAAAAAAGAATACGTTATCTACCATCATCTCATTTTTCTTTCGGCGTTAGGCAGATAACTGGAACCTGAAACGAATCTGTTTCCACGCGATTCAAAACACTATCTTATCAAAGGTTACATTGATTGAGGATATTAAGATCTAATCAAATTGTGGATGTGGTGAAATAAGTATTCAAATCATTTGATAGTTATCATGTAATGCATATATTGCAAGTTGTTCGTTCGATCACGTGGTTGCCAGCTCATCTCAAGATCAATCATACAGCTTGTTGAAAGACGAATCTTCCATGTTATCACTGTTATCTAGTTTGTTCTAAGCCTTCACTTGGACCTTGTGGACATGGTAGATGTTGCAAGTACTGCACTTGGAATAAATGGTCGATGGTTTGCAATTAAAGCAACTGTTAGGTTTAAAGAACATCATGTTATCTATCATGTCTACCCTGGGTCCTATGAAATATGATAATCAAAATTGGGCATTGAGGCTAGCCATTATTCACTGAGCATTATGCAATAATATTTATAATTAATTCGTGTGCTGTGTTTACTGCTTGAATGACTGTAGGATTCCCATACCATAGGCTCACGTTTTAAAGTATCACCATGACATGTGACCTTCATATCTAGCTAAAGGAGCCCCCCTCCCTCCCCTTGTCACTCGAACCATTTTTCATTTTTATCACCGCTGAACTTGAGAATGAGGGATTCTCTTCTTTGGAGGGAGGTGCACTGATGAATAGGTGAGTTGAACTTTCCTGTCAGGTGGGAGTTTGATGAGAGGGAAAGGAAAGGGGGAAGCAAAAAAAAAGAAGGGTGGATCTGAAGGCCCTTTGTAAGACCAGACCTTGTCTCATTTCCTTGTGAAATGTTTCTGAGTGGCACTTTAACGTGGTAGCTGCTATCAGGCCTGGTAGAACTGAGCAAATTTACATTACGGACCGGGCAGCTTGGGCGATGCATATCAAGCAGGGTCGGGGATGAAAAGAACCCTGCTTTTTATTCTTTTGAAAGAATGGGAGACAGAGGCAGAGGGAGCGAGATAGACAGAGAGGGGAGAGAAAGAGAATGGAGCGACTGAGCTTGAATGACAAATAACATTCATTTCGAGGTTGGGTGTGAATAATCAAAAAAAAGTTGAAGCATTGTGCACTAAGGGGAGCAAAAAAGTGAGCGAAAGGTCTGAAGGAGAAAGAAGGAGAAGGTACAAGGAATAACTCTAGGCCAAAGGAAAATGTAATGAATGAAAAGAAAAGTGGTTATCAACAGAAGAAACTATTCATAAGAAATGCCATTAATTTATTCTAATTTAGAATGAGGGTAATGGGGGTAGTATGGTACAAAAGAGGAGGTGGATGATAAGACGAACGATGGATAAAGAGAGATGGAGATAGAGACACACACAGAAGAATATGAAAGGGAATTGTATAGATGAAATTGATTATAATAAAAGAGCAAGTTATGTATCAAGATTATTCAGGTCGCGCCCCTTTGACATATTGTTTATGTTAGACCATATATAGCCGTTGCCTGATGATACAGCTGGCAATCAGAGAGGGAACACTAAAAGAGATAGCAAAACATAGAAAATAATGATAACATAATCATAAGCAGTTAATATGAAAAGCCAATTCACCTCAGAAACGTATCAGCAAACAAAATAGAACCGCTATGACTTCCTGCTTTTGTAATTGTAACTTCTACGATATCTGTAATGTTAGAACTTGATGCACCCATCTTCAGTAAAGGCACCAGAAAGACATTTCTTCTAACAACGCCTACTCACCAATACATCAAGAGAAGTAAGCACGGCTTTAAGGTATTGACAACCAGTCATAATATTATCGTATAATAGATTACAAAAAAATATGTAAATGTACTGAATAAAACAAAATATAAATGATGTCGTGGTAGTTTGTTATGTATATGTCTCCATTGAAACAAGCTGCCTGGTGAACGCAGCTAAAATCTTAATGGTCTTAAAATACAAAATTTGAACTATGCACGTAAAGTAAGAAAGTAGTCAAAATTAATATTGAAAAACTAAATTAACGTCATACCATGCATTTTAGAGATTGCAACGAACAAATGGAATATTATTTTCTTAAGTACTATTTTCATATTAAAAACTAGATTAAATATTCATTTTAACTCATTTCATAATACGTGTATATACCCCAAGTAATGGTATTCATCATAATTCCATTGCTCTTCTATGGAGTTGTATAGGTTGACTTTCAGGATAATTAAATAAAAAATACAACATTTTTGTTTGGATATTTTTATTTTTTATTAAAGTTAATACAAGAACAGCACTTGTTTGCTGCATTCTAACATATTGCGTGCCAGCAGTTAAACGATATTATACAGTCCTGAAGAATACTTCATCAAATAAAACCCCACATCGAGTGCGACCAATCATTTCAGCAATTACTGCACGCTTTTAAATGTTACAGGTATGACCAATTAACTGCGACGATGTGAGTTGCGTCTCTACGATTTTAAGAGACGTCAAGTTTCATTACTTTGAGTAATTATTACCTGCAATATCGAGGAAAAGGCGTAATTATTTAGAGAGAAAACGAGTACATGCAGAACGAAAACTTTTCTATGTGTAATTTAGTTGTAAAGAAAGCATAGTGATGTGTGTTACAAGATCCAAATAAAAGTTACCCGTAGTGTATGCAGATTTCCAGTCAAAATTACTTTGAAAAATCAGAGAACAAATATCTGAGAACAAGTATGAGAACAAAGATAAACGCTTGGATATAATAATATCAATCGTGACGCATTTCATGACGACAAAATATGACTTTTAAGATTGATAAATGAATTAATGATTTACCCCATTTTTGTTATTTCAGTTTTGTAAAGGAATAGGGGAAACGACCCTGGAAATACATCCCTCCCCCTCCCCCGCTGACAATTTTTGTCAACCTAGTCAGTATTTATGAAGCAACACGCACAAACAAATCTTATCATAATGACTTTAGTATTGATATGAAATTATTATTATTAGATGTGTACTGGTAATGACGGAGAATGAACCACAACAGGATCAAAATCACGTAGGTGTGGGCATCATTGCTGGTTTTGGGTAATTCCTGATAAAACTTTTTTTTGTTTTTCTTCCTAAAGCGTGTTAGTCAATTTTTATTAAATGTCAGGTACCTTTGGTTTAAATTTGATTTTGCTAATAAAATAAATCAATTTATATTCTAGATTTCTGTACTTATGAATAATTTTGGGAAATTAGAAACACTTGACATAATTATGTTAAAATGAGTGAGATGGCTCAACATTTATATTTGGACATTTTTCCTGAATATTTGCCATCCGTTTCTAACGAGAAAGGCAGACTATTACCGTTGTAAAAACTGGAGTAGAGTAATTGAATGGTTTTGAATGTTTGTTCCAGATAAACTGGGAAAAATTAAGCAAACGAATATTGGGGGGTAGAGAGAAAGAGAAAGGGGGAGAGATAGAGAAAGGGGTTTGGGCTGTAAAGCTAACAGGAGCAAACCTTGTATGATGGTTTGCCGTGCTTGTTGAAAGGAATCGTAATGGCGCAACGGTTTGCTGGCAAATAGAACCAGAGAAATGGCCGGTTTGGGTTTCAGCCTAAGATATGACGGCCAAAACTTTCATGACATTCTCGCATTTTTCGTCATTTATAAAGGCACGAAAAATTTGGCGAAAGCGATGTTTTATCCTCGTAGTTTAAGACATATACATGGACATGGGATGTTCCTTACATATCTCTGTCCTGTCTCCTTTCACTTGCAATATTTTGAAGGGAATAATGTGAGGATGAAAATGGATGGAGGGAGAACAAACTTGTCTGGTAGACTTGTCGTAGGTAAGAGCAAACAGTGCAACGTAGTTGACTGTATGCATAGCGACTCTGTACACAATCCTTGCTTCTCTCTACCTCTCCTTTTGGAGGCTGTCAGACGAATTTATAACCGAAGTGGAGTGAGAAAATAGAACCAGCAAAGAAAAGAGAAAAAGGAAGGTGCAAAATCGCCATTACACAGTTGTTCTGTCATCAGTTCCACATGCTCCAATAGCTACCCATTTAGATGACCATTTCATAAACCGGTAAGTTTTGGGCTCATTTCTTATAAAGCGTTTCTTCGCCATTACATTTTCCGTGAAATAAGACTTGCGCGAAATTCTTATCACTATAGTCAGATTTGAATTCTTAACACATGCAGCATGTCCGTGTATAGTACCTTCTTTTGATCTTATAAGAAGCTTTTTTAGGGACGCAAGAGAAGTTGAGGGAAATTGCGCAGGGGATGAGAGGGGAGCTAGAAAGAAAAAAAAAAGCGGGGAGACGGAACATGCCAGCATGGCCGGCATCGAAGAGAATCCCCAATAGTGAAAGCATCGAGTGTGATAGGGTTTGGGATCGGAACAGAGAGAGACTTGAGCGAGACGGACCTACATCCGACATACGTGACCATCAGACGACACAGCAGACGACCAGCTAGAATGACAATCAGCGCAATGGCGGGAAAAAGAAGGCGAAAATTGAGATGAGGAGGAAAAAGGGCGCGCCATAAATCCTGAAAGTAATTTGGTGAAAATGCTTGTGTTACGGACAAGGTAGCTGTTGTATTTTCTCTTATGATTTCGTCAGAAACATGCCCTTTGACATGGGATCGTAAACGGGGTAATTAAAAAAGATATCAGCTCATACCGAAATGCAACCTTGCTTGATTGGCGATGGGAAATCGAACTAGAAAAACGAGGGTTCTTAAAAATAAAACAAAACGAAATTGCATGCTATATAATTTGAAAATAGTATCCCATACATAATTTAACCAAAATGCACTGTTTCGCATATCAGAAATAAATAATCCACTCAAACTGGGGCCTTTTAGTATTCTTTTCTTTTTTCATTTTTACAGTGGATCTGATGGGTAGCCTATTAATTTTGTGCTCACCCATCGCTAAATTCTCTACTAGAACTGCTATGAAAGTCGGTCATAGTAGGATTGAAGTCAGTTTGCAGACCCACGGATTGTCTATAAAGTCAACATCTCGGTTATGCAGTGTTTTGTTCACAGTTAAATGGGACCAATTGAGATGAAATTGTCCATGAAATTCTTTTTTACACGATGCACTGGAGCATGCTAAAATTAAGCAGGCTTCAATCTTTTGGCTTCTGCAGCACCAATTTCAAAACTTCTTCTTCACCCGTCGGTTGCTCGCTAGCGGTCTGTCGCGCATTTCCCCCATCGTCTGGTTGCATTATCCTAAGAAGAAAAGAGAACTAATCCACCCCCTCTCCAGAGAGGTGATGAACATGGTACACCGTAAAGAGAGGAAGAATTATCAGGTGATCTTTGTGATAAGAGAAAATAAGGGGGAAATGAAAATAAGTTTGCCGGGCCGCAAACAGTTCTTTTCGCACACCAAAAAGTAGGTCATCTCTAAATCTTATGTTATGATCAAAATATGTTTTTTGATTTATAACTAATATCCTGGGGATTCAGAGACTCTCTCTGTTGAAATGGGAGATAGAGCGGGAGGGAGGGAGAGGGAGAGAGAAGGGGATGGAAATAGGCATATTGGAGAAAGGAGATGCTTATAGGCGCCTGTGAGAGAAAGTGAAGATGATCATGTTATCGATGAAATGAAATGGTAGCACATTTCACCAAGGTCGCTTAGTATTGATTGACATAGAATGAAACCGGCAAAGTTTCGTGGTTATTCCGTCTGTCCAGCACGATCTTCAAAATGGCGCCCACTCCAAAAATTGGAGAACCTGCTTCATGTCCGTGTTTTTGGCGTGCTAGTGAATTCCTTCTCTTGAACATCTTACCTCGCCAGACTCAGGCCTGGGGGCTGGAATCGACTTGCTGATCGCAGAAATCGATCGCTTTTGGTCTAGTTGGGATAGAAACAAGAAAGAAAAAAAGCCGGAAAGTAGAGATATTAGATTCTTTCTCGCAGTGTTATATTCTGTCAGTCGTGTATCTGACTTGTATAACATCGGCAAAACGGAAAGATGGCGAGACGCGACTTGAAAATAAAATGTGTTCGATGTGTCCGAATATTACACAACAAAGAAACCCGTTCAAATTAAAAAAAGAATAATAATAACCTTTGATTTCATAACTTGAATTCTATTCTCAACACATATAAAAGAAAATGGAACCCTGAAAATCTGAATATTGAAATAGAAATGTAATTCAGAGAAATGCCGGACTATTGAGCGTCGTACACCCCACTATCCTCTTATTTATTTTCTTTTATCCGTACAATAAACACTGGTATGCTATTCAATCAACATGATAATGTTGGTTGAATATCATTTTCCATCATCTTCCATAGGCTATTCATATTTTTCCACATTTATCTTTTACGAAAAGGATTATTATCATGAAATAATATAAATCTATTTAAAGGGTTCCTTCGTTGTTATTTATAATTATTATTATCATAATTCTTGATAAAATCATGTAATAACATCGAATTTTCGTTGATATCAAAGCAAAGAACACATCTTAGATAAAAGAAAAAAATACGTTGTAAACTGTAAACAGATCACATTGCTACATCATTTGAAATGTATAAGACGGTTGTCTCTTCTTGTAAATAGTCATATTCCAATCAGTTTCCCAAACATTGAAAATATTATTTATTGTTGACAGGATCCCCCTTTTTAAGCAAAACTAAAATTAGTACTAGTTAGGTCTCATGCCCTTAAAATTTTTAATCATAGAATTAGAGATTTGAAGAAACAAAATATTCAATGACAAATATAGTTAGCCATACATAATACGATAGAAATAATTAAGGAAACATGAGTACTTTTTCTACCGCCAGTTAATAAACTTGTTATATTTTCCTATTAAACAATCCTTTTATTTTATATTTTTATGAACATTTTCATAGAATCCTGAGAGATTATGAGACTGAAACATGTGTCGTTTATGTTGCATCCGCATTCATTGCGGTCATTATCAACGAATAATGGGAGCGATCTGTATAAATGATATCAATTCATTTGTTATAACATTCTATTCCAAGAAAATGCAGACTAAATGCAAGGTCATTATGAAAAACCACACAAAACCCCCTTCTAGTATAATGACATCGCATGTCGCTATCATCAGCGGATTGCTAACGAGTCACCACCCAAGAGGGCTGGCTGGAAGCGAGCCCAAAGTACTGTATACTCTGACCTTTGGACGGGCTGCATGTTTGTAGATTTGCACTAATTTTAAAGACATGTTTACTTATTAAGAAGATCGCTCGTTATAACCATCTTGTGGAGTGCATTAATTCACATACTTGAGGAAGTAGAAACAATGGAATATTTTAGTGAAAATAACATTAAGAGTGGAGGAATTTCAAACAGATGCCTTTATACTTTACTTTAGTCAAAATTACCGGATAAATATTGAAATAAAATATCTAGGACTGTTTGAGAAAAATAACATGACCCATTTTTCTTAATTTTCAAACTAATTGTATTTATATTTATATTTCTGTTACCATTGATACACATGGGGTAATTTAGGCGCCATTACAGCGGCCTTGAAATCATAAGGTTGCAGTAGAAGTGATACGGCGAAGCGACTGAGCGAGCGGGCACGGTAAATATAGCGGTCACTCGCACTGTCCCTACGGGCACCGTTCGGCTGGGACAACCAAGGTTACGTTCTGCGCAAAAACAACGACATTTTTCGTCTCTGATGTGAAGCTTTTGTGTTATTTTATATACATTGAGTATTTCTAGGAATTAAATGAAGAATACATCCTTTATGAAGTATATGGTATGTCATAAAAACTCATTTCAAACAGAAAATTTCGAAGGACTCGTGAAAGAGTTCGGAAAAAAGACTTTGATGATCTATAATATCGTTCACGAATCCTCATGCGATTATCATGATATATGTATAATTGTAATGTACAATTTCTTGCTATTGTTTATTATCAATTATCATTATCAAAACACATCGTTTTGGGGGGTAAATGTAGCAATTAACATTGTCCAAATTACATTATATATATAGAGAATTTGGGATTTCCCATTATTATAATCTTAAAATAAGCAGATACTAGTTTATGAATCAAAGCGTATACTGCTGAATTCAATCGTGATGAATCCTTTAAAATGAAATTGAATATTACAATATTAGATCTCTAATAAGAAAATACAGCCAATTTTACCAGGCAATAGTCATTATGTCAATTAATAATAAAACATGAACTTTGTATATGCTACATCGACTTATGTGTATGTGAGGGGAAAATAAAATAACAAATCATATATTGTTCTTGGAAGTTGCACTTAAATTAACACATCAAATGTTTATGTCTTGGAAATTTTAGCTTTAAAGCAGCTGCTTATTTCACTCGACAAATGCGATGAATATGGAAAATGTTAATATTTTAGAATGAGGTGATGACGTGTATAATATGGTCAAATTATATAGCCCTATCGAAAAGGTATAGTAGTAAAATAGGTAGACATGTAAACAAAAAAGAGAGATTTAAAGAAAATCGATGAGAAAAGTTGATGTATTTTTTTTTGGACAATAATGACTGAGTTGTATTAGGAGGAATAAAACAAAATTTATATTAAATTTATTTTCTTCTTATGTTACATTTTCTGTATAGATCTTTATGGATTCTTTCTCAATCCATCTTTTAGCATCAGTCCGAGTTTTCAGTCCAATTAAAATTCAATTTCGGTTGTATTATTTTAAAAAAACACATGGCAAACATCCGTAATGTTGTCATATTTATAGTAAAATACAAGTAAACATGAAATGTTTATAAACTGAACATTTATACATGTAGTAGGCCCTATTTCAAAAACAGCTAAAAAGAAGAACTTAACTTCATCCACGAAAATAATAATGTTAAACAGCAATTATTATAATTCAATTGCATAGATTAATTGTACAGTGGATATGCCAGTAGCAAAAAAGAAAGTAAAAAAAAAGAAAATAAGATGTCTTATGGCAATAACCCAAGTCCATTTATAACAGTTTAAAAAATGGTCATTCAGAAGACACATACAAAAAATAACGGCGCTACGACTAAATTTGAAGGAATACTGTAAATGAGATCAATTC